ACCTCTTATCTCAAAGGCTCGGTCAGAAGGTGTGAGTGAAAACATAGGAAGATGTGGTATTGTGGTTAAAGGTTGGTTGTTAGGTGTCATTAAATTGAGCATGACTCATAGTACCCCTGTGAACAACAGATCTGAACCCTGTCCTGTTCCAACCTCACAATCTCTAACACACTTGAGGCCAATTGTTGCAGTCATTGTGTCAGTCCATCTGATTGGACTGGGTCTTCCTGTCTTTCACCTTCTCTCCACCTTCCCAAGTGTGATGTCCCTCTCCAAGGAAGAGCCTCCTAGCAACATGCCCCAAGTATGTGAGATAAAGCTTTGTTATCTTTGCCTCCAAGGAGCACTCTGACTACACCTTCTCTAAGGCATACCTATTCTTTTGGCAGTCCCATTCAGTACTGTTCTCCAATACTACCTTTCAAAGGCATCAGTTCTTTCTGTGTCATCCTTACTCATTATCTGGCTCTCAGCAGCATAGCTAGTGAATGAAAAGACTGTGACCTAAACCAGGTACACCTAAACCCTCAAACTCAAAATATCATCACTCCTCAAAAATTTAGAGAAGTCCCCAACTGTAGACTTTTCCCAGTGCAATATATCTCCTGATCGCCTGACTCCTAAATCCAGGTATGTTGATTGTGGATTCAAGTAAGATAAAGTTGTTGACAGGCTCAGTGATGAGAATTTTTATTTTCTTGGAAAAGTCGAATTTGTACAGTTTTTATATTCATAATTGTGAAGTTTCTATGTGGGTAATTATAGCACTTAGATGTCTTATGTAACATACTAAAAGTCATGTAAATATATATCTAGTAATAATATGGTAATCAGTGGGGGTAAAGAATTCATGACAGTGATAAGATACTTTTCAGTGTCTTGTTATTTAGAGAGAGAAGTTTTAAAGGTATTTATATAGTAAATAAGATATATAGGACACTCTTGAGAGGTATTTGTCAATCTATGGCTCCTGGGCAGTGTTTGTAAATAAAATCTCATTGGAATATAGATATGCTTATTCATTAACTGTTGTTCATGTCTGTCTTTTTTTTTTTTTTTTAACACCTTAATGGCAAAATTTGTGTTGCAACAATGACTGTGGTCCACAAAACTTTATTTACTCTCTGGCCCTTTATAGAAAATCTTACAAGGACTCAGTAAATATTATAATGTAAAAAACCCCAACTTTCACCTCTAGACTGAAGAAAAAAGTGGGCCGTCAATGGATTAAGAACTTCGGATCTTGACCAACCCTAGATTGAAAGTTAGCATTTTTGACGAGGGTTTGGTTATCACATACACCAGTTACCTATAACAGAAATAAGCCGGGAAGCATTAGCCAGGGCGATCCCATAAGGAGGACATGGCCTGATAATACTGCTGGAGTGGATCTCTGATGCCTCAGCTTTCACTCTGAATGCAAAATGCAGTACTAAAACCCTGGTGGGAAATGTCTTCCTGCACTGTTGTCTGATACCCTCTGTTGACAAAGCCAGTTGTTCCAGTTGGCTAAGGAGAAATGTGGGGTCTAGATCTGTAACATCAAGAAGGGCTAAGATAACTAGCATACAAAAAATGATAGATTAGTATAGGAGAATAGCATGAACCTCAAAAGTGGAAAAGCTTTTGTCTGAATGTGAAGAATAAACCGTAGGCAGAAATCTAAATCAAGTGTGTGAAATTAGGGAACTAGAAAAACTTTGAGACCTTCAGGAATGTATGGTAACTGAAATGTTTGAGAAATTGGGGTGGGTTCATTTAAGCATGAAAGTGGAGGGAACGTTGAGTTTATGGTAGGCAGGTCTAAAGGATGGAAAATTTTAAATTTTTAAGGGATAGCACAGTACTGAATTTCATCCCATTCTAGCAGTACTTGGCCTATTAAGTGTGACATAAATATTTAATTAGTTGTATAAGAATAAACATTCATTCTCTTAAGGGAAATGTCAGACACAAAAGGGCAAGAAAAACCAAATCCACTGCTGTTGGGTCAATTTTCATTCATACCAATCTTCTGGCTTCCAAAGCTGTAAAAGTTTGGAAGGAGAGTGCCCTTAATTCATATCATGTATTCAGATTTGATAACATGAAACACTCTATGCCACTGGCACTCTTTAATAGTGGAAACAAATGGTTATAAAATGCATATGTTTCTGGATACTTTCGAATCTTGGTAAAATAAAATGTAGTTGAGTTGTACAGAGGGATTTTTCTTAAGGAAATAGTGATGATTGTGCCGATATAAAATGATGTGTAGAAGTTGACTCCCTTTTAATTGCTATTGGTGCTATTAATATGTGACCAGCCTCTCAAAAGCTTGGATATTTTACAGAAGAGAGAAAAGAATTGATGGGCTTTTGGGGGTGGGGGGACGGTGAGAAAAATATGTATTTAGAATTAGCCAGCTGGACTTGGTTTAGATGATCTCAATTTTGTTGGCAACATCTAAAGTATTATAGATAGTCAGGAGCAAGTTGAATCTAAGCTGCCTTCTCTCCATCAGGCCTAATCAGATTGCTGACCTTAGCCATATCAGTGTCACAGAGCTTCTTTACAGCTTGTTTGATTTGGTGCTTGTTGGCTTCTATCTTCTTCATGGCTGACTCACTGGTCAGGAGAAACTTGATGCTGGCTTAGTGGTCAAACTTGTTTCTCCTGAGGGCGCTCTTCCAAGAGTATTTGGGCTCCCTTCAGAGTCTTAGTGTCTTGGGCCGCCGGAAGATGGGTGACGTGTGAATCATCTTTTTTGTTTGTTTGTTTGTTTTTTTTTTGTGACTATGGATGTCCTTCCGGACTGTCTTCTTGGCCTTTAATGCCTTTGCTTTGGCTTCAGTTTTGAGAGGGGCAGGGGCTTCCTTCTTCACTAACAGTGCCATATTCGTAGAAGCAGCATTGATGTTTTTAAGGAGGAACTGGTTCCAGATGTTCATAAAACAAATAATTCCCTTTTGGTTGTTATTTAGTAATTCTTTTACTAAATTTTACTAGCTTATTCTTGTACTAGATTGTAGTAAATTTTTATTTCTGATTTTAATGTGAAATTAATAACATTTGCATGTAAAAGTTGTATTAGGCAAAGTGAAATTTAATGAGGCATTGCCTTTCTCTCCCTTCAAAGTAAACTGTTTAACTAAAAAGCTATGGTTTTGGGGGGTTTTTTTGTTTGTTTTTTCAGTACTGATATTTAAAGCTGTATTTCAAGATCGTTTCTGGGAGTAGGAAAACAAATGCACATATTGAAAGGGCCCCAAATGTAGTTGAGAACACTGTCATAATGATCAGCTCTGAGAGCTACCCTAACAAATCTGTTAGATGATAAATCTTAATAACACCAACGGTAACAATCTTCAAGGACTCCAGGTGGGGGGAAAAAAAAGCTTGAAAACATAAGAAACTTAGCTGTGACACATTAAAGATGACAACAAATTCTTTCTCATTCTTTTGATTCCAAAGTTATTGTTGTTAGATGGGTTTGTTTGGTTTTTTTTTTTTAAGTCACAAAATAGTAAAGGATACTTGTTTGTAGCCATATCTAAATGTCTGATATCTGACTTAATTTCATAAATTGATCTTTAAAATTCAGTTTTTGTTGTTGTTATGTGCTATCGAGCCACCTGCAACTCATGGTGATGCTATATACAACAGTCCTAAACCCTGCTCCATATGTGCCAGTCTTACTGTCTCTGATAACACCTACCCCCATTATCCCAGTCACTGAATCAATCCATCTCATCAAGGGTCTTCCTCATTTACGCTGTCCCTCCACCCTCCCAAGCATGACATCCCTCTCCAAGGACAGATCCTGCCTTGCAACATGTCTAAAGTATGTCAGATGAAGCTTCAGAATCCTTGCCTCCAAGGAGCAGCCTGGCTTCACCCTCTCCAGGACAAACTTGTTTGTTCTCCTAACAGTCCATGTTATATTCAGTACTCTTCTCCAGCACCACAGCTCAAAGGCATCAATTCTCCTATCATCCCTAGTCATTGTCCAGCTTTCTGATGCATAGCAAATAATTGCTAAGACCCTGGCCTGTATCAGATGCACCGTAGTCTCCAGACTGGCATTGTTGTTCATCAGTACTTTGGGGAGGTCTCTGACAGCAGACTTTCTAAATGCAATTTGTCTTTTAATTTCCTGGCTGCTGGTACCAAGAGTGTTGCTTGTAGAGCCAAGCAAACTGAATCTGTTGACAATCTCAATCTCTTCACCATCATCATAATGCTACCATTCGAACCAGTGGTGAGAATCTTTGTTTCTTGATGTTGAGCTTCAATCCACTATTGAAGGCTACAGTCCATGACCTTCTGCAACAAGTGCTTCAGGTCCTCCTCAGTTTCAGCGAGCAGAGTTGTATCATCTACATAACGCAAATTGCTAATGAATCTACTTTCAATCTTGATACCACATTTCTCCTCATAGCCTCCCAGATCATCTTTTCTGCATATAGATTGAAAACATATGGTGATAGGGCACCTCCTTGGTGCACACCCTTCCCAGTTTTGAACCATGCAGTGTTTCCTTGCTCTGTTCTTACGACTGCCTCCTGATCCAAGTATAGGTTTCGCATAAGCACATTCAAGTGTTCTGGGATTCTCATTCTTAGAGGCAGCCATAGTTTCTTGTTATTTACATAAATACCTTTGTAAAGTCAATGAAACACAGTTAAACCCTCCTACTGCATTCTTTGCTTTTAGCCAAGATCCATCTGACATTAGCTATAAAACCCTAGTACCATGGCCTCTTCTAAACCCAGCCTACACTTCAGGCAGTTTTTGTTGATGTGCTATTCCAGTTGTTTTTGGATAATCTTCAGCAGAATCTTTCTTGAATGTGATATCAGTGATAGTATTTGATAATTTCCACACTCTGTTGGATCACCTTTCTTTGGAATGAGAACAAATGCAGTTCTCTTACAGTCAGTTGGCCAGGTGGTTGTCCTCCAGATTTCTTGGCATAACTTGGTGATTTACCAATTTTTATTTACTTTTTATTTTTAAAGAACCAACACCGAGCAGTAGATCAAGTGATTAAAGCTGTAAGGAAAATCTGCAGTGCTTTAAATGGTGTGGAGACGCCTGCCATTACAGAATCGGTAAAGAAGCTAAAGAGAGCCGTTAATCTTCCAAGGAGTAAAAGTGCTAATGTGAGTATTTTTTTAGTAATTAGTGTCTTTTTACTTAAAAATATGTACTTAAGTGAACATCTACCTCCCAAGCTGGAAAATTTATGATATGTTGGACAAAATTCATCATTTTAACTTGGGCTTTCACTTTTGAGTTGATCTGTTGTTTGGTGGGTAGGGAATTCCAAAGAGTAGATGGGCTTGCTGGAAGATTTTGTGAAGGTTGACAGTGATAAAGTGGATTCCTTTATCCATTGTGTGTAGAGGAGGAACTCTAAAATAAATGAGTTGACTTTAAAGGTAGTACTGAAAACTTGAGTTTAAGGCAGGTAGTGAGCTTAACACATTGCCGCAAATGATGGTAAAAATGTGTTTCAAAGCACGGTCGTCAATTTAAAAGTGTGCGGCAATGTGTGACCTGGAGAGTAGTAAGTACCATTTGTCCATTGGGATAGAAATGACTCTTTTGTCATTGTGGGAAATTCTGCTTTCTATGTATGGTGAAGAGATTGAGATAGTTAACAGTTTTAGTTTGCTTGGCTCCATAGTCAACACTCTTGATAACAGCAGTCAGGAAATCAGGTGACGAATTGCATTGGGAAAGTCAGCTGTGAGGGACCTCTCAAGAGTACTGAAGTGCAATGATATCAGGCTGGAGACTCAGGCTATAGTCTTTGCAATTATGTGCTACGCATCGGAGAGTTGGACAGTGACTAGGGATGATAGAAAGAGAATTGATGCCTTTGAGATGTCATGCTGGAGAAGAGTGTTGAATATACCATGGACTACTAGGAGAACAAACAGGTTTGTCCTGGAGAGGGTGAAGCCAGAATGTTCCCTGGAGTCAAGGATTCTGAAGCTTCATCTGACAAACTTTGGACATGTTGCAAGGAGGGACTGGTCCTTGGAGAGGGATATCATGTTTGGGAGAGTGGAGGGATGGCGCAGGAAAGGAAGACCCTCGATGAGGTGGATTGATTCTGTGAGTGGAGTGTGGGAATGAATGTGTTTGAGACAGCGAGGTTGGCACAGGATAGACCGGCGTTTAGGGCCCTTGTACATAGGGTCGCTATGAGTCGCAAACGACTCGATGGCACGTAACAACAACCACCACCACCATGATACCTGCCAGCTGAAAAAACCCCCATGTTTCCAGAGTAATGACTATTGTCTTTAAGCAGCCAGGTTAGGACTTCTCTTGATATTATACTATTATTTTTAATAAATTAACTCTTCTCTCAGTTTTAGAAATTTAGTTAACTCCGTTCATAGACATTTTTCTTGCTTTAATTAGAAGGATGAGAAAGTGGATCTCATAAGCTATAATAAATGTGAAGAAAGGCAATTCATCGTCTTAATTCTCACAGCAAACCTTTCCATTTGGTATATAAAGATTTGGATCTATTTTTTATTTCTAGAGTATGTGTTTATTTTTAGAAGTGAAAAAATATCATCCATTAAATTACTTTGAGACTTCTGTTAATTTCACTCCTTTCTGGATTAAAAATCATATGGATGGGGAACTCATTTATATATTTTATAAGAGCTTTTGAATCCCCAGGTTGTAGTAAATAGGGTTTTGCTTCATTGAGTATTTGTGTCTTAGGTACAGTAGAACAACTAATGTAAGATATTTGTTACCTCTGGGTTTTAAATTAATATTATTAATAGGCTAAGTGAAGAAGAAGATTTTATTGTGATTCTGTGACATTGTACGGTAATTTTCAGATTACTTTATGATTTTATTGACACTATCTTTTTCCCTCCCTTTGGTTTCAAGTTTTCACTTTCTGTTCATTACTATTCTATTTCATTACTTTTGCAGGCACTTTTGAAAGTTTACACAAGGAATGGTTTATTTGATGTAGAGTTTAGCAACATTATTGCAGTTATAGGCAGCCATTTTCAGTTATTTCTGACTAATTTGTTTATGTATATGCAGATGACTTCATTATCTGGAGGAGAAACTAGCAAGAGCTCAACAAAGGGTATGTCTCTAAGTTCTTTAAATTTTAGCAATAGTTGTTGCTGTTTTCAGATAATTACATTAACGTTTTCTTTAAATTTAGGTTCATTAAATTCAGAAAATCCTGTTCAAACAAGCATGGACCAATTAACTGTAGCAGTTTATGATCTTCTCAGACTACATGCAAATTCTGATAGGAGTCCTTCAGGTTGTGCTCAAAGTAGCAATATCAAGGAAACTTGGACCACAACAGACCAACTCCAGTTTACTGTCTTTGCTGCACATGGAATTTCAAGTAACTGGGTATCAAAGTACGTACCAGTTAAAAAAAAAAAGCACAGACTTTATCTAATCTTGTAAAAATGTCAGCAACTACTGTTTTCTTGGTATTTAAGTAGATGGTGCATAAATCACTATCTTGTTTTCATAAGAATTATAGAAATGTTAGAAACTATTCCAGGAAAAATGTCATTGCATACAAGAAAGGGCAGGAAAATGTTTGTTGACATTTATAAGAGCAGATGTTATAATGAATACCAGAGTAATTTGAAAACCTTCAACAAGGCTAGACTATAAGACTTTTCCCCCACCCCATCCTGCTTAGTGGTCTTCAGGCTTTTTTTACTTCTAGGCATTGAAGATGACAAGATCATTAATTCTTCTCTGGAGTCTTAGTATAAGTTTTCTTTTTTTAATTTTAGTCTTACGTCAGTGCATAAAGACGTAGTAAATGTGTGCCTCTTTGAACTTACTTACAGTTTACTAGTGTGAAATGAATGTTTACTAGTTTCATAGTCACTTAACATTAAAAAATAAGATAAAACCTCATCAAGTGATAGCTACCAAAATGGAATTCTGCTTCAGTTGGGCTTTAGTTTAAAAAGAAAAACCAAAAGTAATAATATGACCTACTAGTAGTATGTGAATTGATTTAATAAGTATTTACTGAACACGGACTATAAGGCTTCATGAGATTGAATATTCCATGGACCGCCAAAACTCAAAACAATCATTGCCATAATTTTGGAACCAACTCGTAGTTGCCCCAGATGCTGTAAATTACATTTGAGGAGATTGCCATTCTTTTTCTGTCCAAGTAGCTCAAAGATTTGAACCACTTGCCTCTGAGCTGATATTGCAATTTCTTGCCCACTAGGCCACTGGAATTCCCTGTGGACTGCCAAAAGAACAAATAAATCTGTTTTGGAGTAAGTGGAACCAGAGGGTTCCTTAGAGGCATGCATGGTACAACTTCATCTCACATACTTTGGGCTTCTTGTCAGGAGGGGCCAGTCCTTGGGGTGGGGGGGGGGAAGCATCATGCTGGGAAAGATCTAGAGAGTCAACAAAAGAAAGGAAGACCCTCAAGAATATGAATTCACACAGTGACTACAATAATAGGCTTGGCATGAAGGGGATTATGAGGATAACACAGGATAGGCCAGGGTTCATATTTGTTGTTCACAGGATTGCTTTTAATTATAGTTGATTCAGCAGCACCTAACAATAACGGTGGATGATTTCTTAGGACGTAAAAATATAGCAATAAACAAGGCAGCAAAAAAGAAAATAAAAAGGTCCCTGGTTTAGCAAAATACCTATTTATAGATATGTAGATTTTTATATAGATGATAGATAGATAGATAGATACACTGCTGTTCTCTCAAAGGAGAAAGATGAGTAGTTTCTTCCTTTGCGATTTACAGCCTCCAGAAACCAGCTGGAGGGTCATCTATGAATCAGTTCCAACTTGACAGCAATGAGTAAGTGAGTACCCTGCCTGTGGTAATGGTGTCTTTTACTTCTCTAGTCACTGCTACTGTCCAAGCACAAATACATTTAGAGACACTTAGAAAGGGGAGCAAATACCCAGTAGAATAAAATACAAAAAACTATAAATGATAAGAAAGTTAGTAAAACTCCAGAGTAAATAGGAGAAATGGAACAAGATTTTAAAAAGAAACCAAATAGATAAGTTTTTTGAACCAATGTGATTGTTGTGTGCCTTCGAGTTGCCTGCGACCCTACATACAACAGCTCTGAAGCCTGCTCTGTCCTGAGCCATTCTCACTGACTCTGACACTCCCATCTGCCCTAGTTACTGTATCAATCCATCTCATCTGGGGTCTTCCTCTCCTATGCTGTCCCTCCACCCTTCAGAACATGATGTCCTTCCCCGAGGATCGGTCAGTCCCTCCTGGTTATGTACCCAAAGTATGTGAGAAAATCCTACCTAGCCTTCAAGGAGAATCTTGATTTCACCTTCTCCAAGACAAACCTGTTTGCTTTGGTGGTCTGTGGTATGCTCAAGACTCTTCTCCAGCACCACAATTCAAAGGCATCGATTCCTCTTCTGTCTTCCTTAGTCATTGTCCAACTCTCTGAAGCATAACAAGTAATTGCAAAGACCATGGCCTAGATTAGTCACACCTTAATCTCTAGACTGACATCGTTGCTTTTCAGCACTCTGGAGAGAGCCCTGACAGTGGATTTCCCCAGTGCAATTCATCTTTTGATTTCCTGACTGCTAGTGTTAGAAGAGGGTTGATTGTGGAGCTCAGCAAGCTGTTAATTGTTAACAATCTCTTCTCCATCTCTCATGGTGCTGCCAATCTAATTACATTGGAGGATGTAAGGATTTGGACTTAACATCCTTTAATGTGATTAGATGTGAAATATATTTAAAATTATATTTAATAGATTGGATATTTGAACAAAAGGATTAAATATGTAAACCGAGCAGCAAGTAAGAATATAGGTTGATATTGGGGTGGGTTTTTTGTTTTGTTTTGTTTGTTTATTTGTTTTCAGTCAGTATACATCTAGGGAGCTCTGTTGGATGTAGGCTAGAGTTGTGCTACTAATTCAAAAGGCCACTCTTTTCTGGCTGTTTGAATCCACCAACAGGCTTTGTGGAAGGCAAGTGGGAAATCTCTTATGTATTTTATAGCCTGGGAAAACCTGCTGGAGGACCGCTATGAGTAAGTTCCAACTTGACAGCAAGGAGAGATAAAATATTTTTTCATTTCAGTAATTTATTTCACATATTTAATTTAGTGAGATTGTGTTAGTTATGCTCTTCAGCCATGACCTATGGAAGAAACAATATCCTGTAAGCATTTAAGTCTTTCTTTTCCTCTTGTATCTACTTGTTCCTGGAAATCACTAATAAACTGTTTTTTTGACACATGCCTATTCAACCTATTATATAAGTGAGATCATACAACATGTTTCCTTTTGTATCATGATGTTTTCAGAGTTTGTCCATGTTTTAGCATGCATCAAGTCTTCATTTTTATTTATGGCTGAGTAGTAGTCCATTTTTTATACCGGATTTTCTGTATCCTTGTCTCTATTATGAATATTTAAAGTGTTTCATCTTTCAACTAGTGGTGAATAGAGCTGCACATTAACATTGGTGTAAATACTGTTGTACATATTGTTGTTATGAGTCAGAGTATACTTGAAAGCACCTCACAATAAAAATGTTGGAAGACAGACAGTCTGATTGTACTTAACTTTGTTCTTGTGGCAATAGTTGCTTCTATTGTTATGTGCTGCCAAGCTGGAACAAACTCATAGCTGACCCTCCAGTGGGTTTTCAGAGGCAATAAATCATGCAGAAGATTGCCCATCTTCCTCCCATGGAGCAGCAGCTGGTGCATTCAAACCACTTGCCTTTGAGTTGGCAGCTCAGTTCCTAACCACTTACCATTACTGTTGTTGAGAAAATACAGCAGTATTCCATGGATGAATGCTGCTTCATAGGCAGGAAGGACTGACTCAGTATATGTCAGGTCCTTTCACTAATAATATGGCTCTAAAAACCCAGGTCCACTGCTGAGTCCCTTCAGCTCACTCTTACTTCAAAGGCTTCTCCTTATTATGTGCACTGAGTCAGAATCTAATCATAACTGACCCTTTAGGGGCATAATGAGAAGCTGTATATCACATAGGAGGAGACTGCTCGTCTTTCTCCTGCAGAGGATGCTGGATTCAAGCAGCCTACCTTTCTTTTGGTTGGTAGTACAACTCCCTTACCCACTAGGCCACCAGAGCTCCCATTTCAGGGCCTTAACAAAGAAAAATGGCTTGCAAAGGTAATGTTTGTTTTTTCTACCCAGGATAGGCAAAAGAAGTGAAAAGCTACAATATTTAGTTAAATCTAAAGCTAGTAACTGTAACTGAATATAGAATGGAAAGAAATGTGTTTATCTATCTATTGTCATTACTGGTACCCCTTAACCTGGTGCCTTAACCACAGGACAGGTTACCTTCTCTACCACCTTTGCTTTGCCTCTTCTCTACTTTCATAGAGGTTACAATGCTTAAAAATGTTATTTTCCAGAAATCAAATGGATAGTGATCAAATTACTTCAGATAATCATTTTGGGGAAGAACTCTTAACGATATGTATTTCCATTATTTGACTAATTTGTGTTATCAGCATGCAGTGAAATTAAACTTTCTTTTCCTAGTTATGAGAAATACTATTTGATATGTTCCCTGTCTCATAATGGAAAGGATCTTTTTAAACCTATTCAATCCAAGAAGGTTGGCACTTACAAGAATTTCTTCTATCTTATTAAATGGGATGAACTGTAAGTGAAATTTTGCCTTGAAGTCTTTCATTATTGTTGAGTTTTATATGATGATGATGATTATTTTGTGTGTACTGTCAAATCCCTTCTTACTGGTACAGGAAGAGATTGTCCCTCCTTCTTCAGCAGAGCATCTGGTGGATTCGAACCACACACCTCTGAGATTGAAGTGCAGCTTCTTGCCACTAGGCCATCAGGGCTCGCCTGTATTTGTTTTTTTATATAAGCATTCTAACTTTCATTTTAATATATCATTTCCATTAAATTTAATTCAGTTTTTACTGACTTCTGAAGGTCTCTTGAAGATAGAATTCTATAGGATAGATTGACATTCTTATTTAAAAATTTAAAATAGTCTTTTAAATTTGATACTTAAATTATAGAAATATACTATTCATTCTTTCTACATGTTAAATTATAGATAAAACAGCCTACAGTAAGTTCTTCTAGAAAAATGATGTTCTACAGCATTACTTCTACTATTTATGTGACATTTATTGTTATTTTTATCCTGTAACTGCATTTGTTAATTATATTTCTTGATTAACATGAAAAACTTCTACTCTTAAATCCATACTTAAGATGGTATTTTGAACTACTGATAGTTTTTAAATGTTTCTATTTAGAGTCAGGGAATTATTTCCATATTTAAGAAGGTAGGATATTACAAAACTTTTTATTCCTCATTTAAGAAATAATTTTGTTTTTAAATTCTAAAAGTAATGCATATTTGTGAATGCACTCAAGTAATCACCACACCACTCATTGCCATCAGATTAATTCTGAGTTATAAGGTCCCTGTGGGACAGAGTAGAATTGTAAATCTTTATGGAAGCAGACCATATGATTCTCCTACATAGCAGTTGGTCGGTTGAAACTACAGACCTTTCATTTATTAGGTTAATCCTTAACCACTGTGTCATCAGGATAGCTTTCAAATAAACAATATTAAAAATGTATTTAGGAAGGGGAAAAATGTAGATAAGGTAATAAGGAGCTCTGGTTGCTCAGTGGGAAGGAGTTTTGCTGCCAACCCAAGGGCAAATGATTTGAATCCCATCAGCTGCTCTGGGGGAGAAACATGCGCAGTTTCCTCCTGTGTCATTTACTGTCTCAGACAACCCTGCTAGAGGGTGAGATACGAGTTGATTCTGACTCTGCAGTACCTCACAACAACACATGTTGTTGTTGTTTGATGCCGTCGAGTCGTAGACGAACGACTCACAGCGACCCTGTGAACGAACAGCCTGAGCACTGTTCATACATAGAGTTTCCGCAGGCAAGCCATTTCGGAGGTGGATGCCGCTCCTGCTTCCAGGCTTGATTTAGTCGGGAAGCTCCAGCCAACACTGTCCACCATGGGTGCCCATTACCACGATTGGCACATCACTGTCACAGTCTTCAGCATCACAGCAACCACGAGTTACCTCTGTACAGCAACACACAGACCAGTGCTATACCACCTGTGGTTTTTATCTCAGTCTCCTTTGGTTAAAGTTTGCCATAGTTTCTCCATAGCAATGCCACAGTCTCTCCACCACTATCACCAGAGTCTTGCCACCAAAATCTCACTCCAGTCTCCCTCTCTCCTTCTCTCCCCTTCTCCCCCACAAGAACACATAGGTTAAAAAAAACACAATGCCCATTTTCAACACCATAGCTTCCTATGGCCCACCCAGAGTGGACATTTTTTATGTAAATTCCCCCAAACAGGCATTGGTAAACTCTTGTCTCATTGTACATGTGCAAACATACATTTTCACGTACAAATGCTCATCTAGATTTTTTTTTAAAAAAGTAAAAAGTATGACACTGGAGTGTGACACTACAATTCTTGAGTAAAAGGCACTTAACAAATTTATAAGGAACAAATGCTATATTTTAAATTTTATACTGTTAGAATTTATGTAAATTTTAACAGTTAATCAGCCTCAGTGCACTAAGGTATTAGTTGTAAAGATATTTGATAATTTGAAGTACTTAAATAAAGGACCAAGTTTAAAATTTCATTACAGAATTAAGCTTTTATAATTAACCTAATTTGTGTCTATTAATATTTCCCCCACTTTAGGATCCTTTTTCCCATCCAGATATCACAGCTACCATTAGAATCACTTCTTCATCTTACTCTTTTTGGAATTTTGAATCAGAGCAATGGAAGTTCTCCTGATTCTAATAAGCAAAGAAAAGGGCCAGAAGCTTTGGGCAAAGTTTCCTTGCCTCTTTTTGACTTTAAACGGTAAGTGTTAATTGAATTGTGATGACAGGTTACTATGAACCTATATGCAGCATCAGAATTGGCTATAGGGCAAGATAAGCAATAATAACCTACTTAAGCTAAGAAGCTACGTGTTTTCCCATTGTAATTAAAGGAAATCTGTGCACACAAATGAGTGGAAACCCAAATTGTGCTACTGTAGTTGGAAAATATCTGTAAGAAATATCAAAAGATTATTTACCGCTTGTTCCAGGAGAATAGACTCAGTCCATTCACTCTTTGGCTATCATTTATACAGCCAAACTAGTCCACCGCTGTTGAGTCGATTTCGAGTCTTGGCAACTGTATAAGAGAATAGAACTGCCCCATAGGAAATTCAAAGCTGTAAAATCCTAAGGCAGTGAATTACCTCATCTTTTTCAAAAGGTATTATTGGTTGGTTTGAACCACAGACTTTTTCATTAGCATTCAAGCACTTTAACCATGGTACCTATGGAGGACCTTTCATGTATTTAAAGTATATATGATTAATATGTTGTTACTATTGTTAGGGACTGTGGAGTTGAACCCTATGAACAAGAAATCTGAACCCTGTCCTATCCTTTGCCATCCTCATCATTTCTGACATACTTGAGCTCACTGTTACAGTCACCGTGTCATTTCATCTGGTTGAGGGTCTCCCTGTCTTTTGCTGACCCTCTACTTTTCCAAGCACGATGTCTCTCTCAAAGGAATATAGCCTCTCTTAGTAACATGCCCAAAGCATGTGAGACAAAGCTCGGTCATCTTTACCTCCAAGGAGCACTCTGGCTGCATCCTTCTCCAGTTTCAGAGTCTGCCTACATGTGCACATTTCCCCCTTCTTTTATCTCATTACCTGACTCATTTAGCCCTTACTGTTTTAAGTTTCTGGTCTTTAATCTCTAGTCATCCCACATATGCCTTAAAACCTTTTGAGAGCTACTTCCCTTATTTTAGGAGCAAAGGAATTTCTTTTTTTTTTTTTTTCTGAAATAAATTATTGCATTTACTTTTTTTTTTTAGCCAAGGTTGTTAGGTCTTTTTGGTTTTTGGGGTTTTGTTTCCCTTTTATTTCCCTTCTTCTTTTATTAATTATAATGAAAGTTTGTAGAGACTTTGGATTTTCATTCATTGTTGCACTTTTCTCCCTGCCCACCCCCCCCATACCAATTCACTCTTCTCTTTGAAAAGTAAAAGAAAAATTCTTTCATTGTTATTCAAAACCTCCCCCCAAGTCCACTCCACTATTCAGCCTTCATTCTGGACTCCTGTCATGACAATAATACCTAATCATATATCCCTTTTAAACAGTTTATAGTATTTACCCTCTCCTTCACAGTCTCCCCTCAACCCCAATGTCAGTCCCATTTTACAACAGTGGCACTATGCAATATTTGTCCTTTTGTGACTGAGATAGTTTACTCAGCATAATGTTCTCCAGGGTCACCAATTTTTAGAATATTTCATGAGTTCCTTGTTTTTCAATGCAGCAGAGTATTCCATTGTGTGAATATACCACAGCTTCTCTACCCATTCGTTTGTTGATGGGCACTTGGGATTGTTTACAACTCTTTGCTATTTTGAACAAAGCCGCAATAAACGTGGGTGTGCATTAATTGAATTTCTTAAGAGCTTGTCTGCTTAGACTTTTTTGGGTCATAAAATTTTCTGGCCTTTAAGACCAATGTTTTTACTATGTTCTACTAATAAAGCTCATTGCCATCAAGTCAGAACCAACTCATAACTGGTCCTCTGAGAAGAGACTGCCCATCTTTCACCCTTGAACCAGCTGGTGGATTTGAACTGCCTACCTTTGGATTGACAGCGCATCTCTTTGCCCATGCAGTAACCTCTTACTCAACTTACAGCCTCTGAAAATTCCCTAGAATGTTAACTCTGAGTCATTTCCAACTTAACCGCACTGAGTTTTTTTAGAATTCCTATTAAGGAAGCTTTTGTGGCCTACTAATAAGCCGTGCTGCAATCCTGAAGAGATTTGGTTGGAATCCACTTGCTGCTAGCAGGAAAAAGATGGGAAATCTCTTCTGTGTGATTCACTGCCTTTGAAAACCCACTGGAGGAGGGTCGACTCAGCGGCACCCAACAACACGATTAGCATTTTCAAGTCCCTGTGATGCTTTGCACTTGTATTCTATGTTTATATTCTAAGTGCCTTTATACTCAGAATAACCCTAGGAAGTAGATGGTAATATTATTCCCTTTTACAAAAGAGAACGTCAAAGTGCAGATAGTTTTTTTTTTTACTTTGTTTGTTTGTTGTTTTTTTTTCTATATTTTATTAATTTTCATAAACATTGACAAAGATTTTGGGTTTCCATTCATTCCTTGTTGCACTATTCTCTCTACCCTCCTCCCAGTTTGTTCTTGTCCAAATGCCACAGTGCTTGTCAAAGCCAGTTCTG